GGAGTCCTCTCCGCTCTCTCTCTCTCTCTCTCTCTCTCTCTCTCTCTCTCTCTCTCTCTCTCTCAGTTTTTTGGATGTACTCGCAGCCCGGAAGGATCCTGCAGGACTTTCTGGTGAAGTTCTCATCAACGGAGCCCTACAGCCACCTAATTTCAAATGTCTTTCTGGTTGTGTTGTCCAGGTACAATGCATGATCACTATATTGAGATGTGAGATCTTTTTGATGCTTAAATGCTTATAAGGTGTATGACAGTATATTGGGATTCTGAATTAAGTTTTCTTGCTGACCATATCAATCCATTATCTACAACATTTGTGGTTATGTGTTAAGGATGACATAGTGATGGGGACTCTGACGGTGAGAGAAAACCTCTGTTTCTCAGCCGCGCTACGTTTGTCCTCCCAAATCAGTCCAGGAGAGAAAGAGGCGAGAGTGAACCACCTCATCTCAGAGCTGGCCCTCAACAAAGTCGCTGATGCAAAGGTGAAATAGTATATATAATATATTTAGTATATATAAAATTTTGTAATTGGCCTCCATATTATTGGCAATTTTTAATCATCCTTTTGGAATTAAATCTAGCATGTAAGAAACTGCTTTATATTTCATGTCAAATATTACGCAGAACCTCACTAGTATCCCAAAGGATATAAACCAGAAGTGTATGTCTGTACAGGTGGGCACGCAGCTGATCCGAGGTATCTCAGGAGGCGAGAGGAAGAGGACCGGCATTGGGATGGAGCTGATCATAGACCCCTCTGTGCTGTTTCTGGACGAGCCCACCACTGGTCTGGACGCTAGTACGGCTTATTCTGCGCTCCTGCTGCTGAAGAGGTCTGTATATTCATATGCAGACATTGTAAAGATACATTTGTAAAATGAAGCAGCCATTGGTTGAGCTTCAGTTCTCAGTACCCATTTCTGAGATATGCAAGTTATCATATAAACTACCATTCAAAAGTTTGGGGTCAGTTCGATTTATTTATTTTTAAATAATGTTTTAGAAAAAAGTATATTCTGCTCACCAAGGCTTTATTTGTTCCAAAATACAGTAAAAACTTTATTACAATTTTAAAAAATATTCAAACTTCCTATTTTAATATTTTTAAGATTATTCTAGATATATTGAATTTTCAGCATCATTACTCCAGTCTTCAGTGTCACATGATCCTTCAGAAATCCCTCTAATATGCCGATATTATTAATGCTCAGCTGAGATGCTTAATATTTTTGTGAAAACCATGATGCATAAAGTCCATAAAGTCCAAAAGAACAGCATTTATTTGAAATTAAGGTTACACTTTATTTTAGGGTGTCCTTGTTACAGTGTAATTATACATTTAAGTACTGAGTATTATTAATTAACAACATGCACTTACTATATAGTTAGAGTTAGGATTTGGGTTTGGCTTAGGGTTACTTGCATGTAATTAATTATGCATAATTTATTGTTGTTATAATAGTAAATACATGTAACATGTGTAACAAGGACACCTTAAAATAAAGTGTTACTGAAATTAATTATAATTACGTGTTAATTTCCTTAAAAAAGTAATGTTGTTTTAATATCTCAACCCTGTGTCTGTTTGTTTTCAGAATGGCCGGTCAGGGACGCACCATCATCATGTCTATTCATCAGCCGCGATACTCCATTTACCGGCTCTTTGACAGCCTCACGCTGTTGGTCAACGGCAAACAAGTTTATCACGGACCCACTCAAGATGCTCTAGACTACTTTGCCAACATTGGTAGAATAATCTACAGATACAATGACTTCAATCTCTAAAAGTTTCTAATGTTTAAAATATTATTAGTTGAAAGAGCTGAATGTTTTACAGAAATACAATATTTTAAATACTAACATTTCTTACCTTAATGGTGTTTTTTCAAATGATATTGTAGGATATGCTTGTGAAGCTCATAATAACCCAGCTGATTTCTTTTTGGACATCATTAATGGCAGCTCTGCAGCTGTCAACATGACAAAGATTCAGAATAATGGAGGTACTTGGTTATCTTTCTATTGAAATGGATTTTGAGGAGCCAGATTGGCTTGTTAAGTGATTTCCTCATCAGATATGTAATGGAAAACATGCCAACAAATGCCAATAACACGTCTTGCTTTTAGTTAAAAAGGCATTTACAAAGCATTTGGCCATAAATAATAAAAGACATAAGCTGTTGGGTTCATATATTATTAGTGTTGTCAACAATTTGTCTTCAGCAGTGTAGATTATGAATTGTGTATCACTTAAATGAACTTGTGTGTAATGCTGTTGGCAGATTTCGAGTTTGAAGTGGCTGCCGTCAGCCAGCAGTCTATTGAGGATCAGCTGGTGGAGAAGTACAAAAACTGCAGTTATGCGCGGAGCATCAAAGCTGAGCTAGAGCGCATCACCCAGGCCAAAGACAACAACATCAGAGCCAAGTGTCACACCATCACCTACAACAGCTCTTTCTTCCACCAGCTCCACTGGGTGTTGTGGAGAACCTTCTGGAGT